CCGCCCGCGGCACCCCCAAAACACCTTCCCGGGAGAGCCCCCGCTGCCAGCTGCTTCCAGTTTGTCCCCCCGGTGATCGCAATTTGATGCACTCAGAATCAAAGCACCCGGCGGCAGAGGCATCTTCTGCCGAGCATCACAGTGCCCTTTCGTGAAGTTAATTGTACTCCCACCTTGTTCCTTGCTTCTCCCTTTTCTTCATTGGGGGACACTAAGGAAAACTTCAGAGCAAAGTGTCAGCATGTTTCAGCACAAGAGCTGACAGTGACAATAAGATTAAAACGTATGGAAAAGGTTGAGGTCTGCAGCTATACAGAAATTATTGCAGGAATTATGCACAGACAGTGCTTTGTTTTCTGTATGCAAAAGTTCCCTGAGATAATGCAATCCAAAATAGAAAGGCATTAAAAATATAAGAAGCATGAACAATTATGCTCTACAGAGAAGGCCGTACAGGAAGAGATTTCAGTAACTCCTGTGCTCCACAGACGACTTCCCTAAGCAACCTTGCCTCTTCTGTGTGAACCCTGTGTCAATCAGGTTCATGACTGTCAACATATTCCTTACATCTGATCCTTGCTCATTTCCAATACCATTCCCAGATTACTTTTCATTACTATTGAAGTACGTAAAGCATAATTAAGCAATGTAAAACCCTTGCTTATTAGAAGGAAAACTAAGGTTCTTATGCAGGACTGTAAAAGGAAGGTCTGGATCCTCCTCTGAGCTGTGTGCAGGGAGATCTGCAAACCAGCATGGAGCTCCACTGAAACCATTGGTCCTTTTCCATTGAGAGCTGGGACCTCAGCTGGAAAGTCTCGGGTTGAACTTCCAGGGAAATCAGCAGAAAATGTTGCTTATGAAAGCATTCAATTTAAGACCATGTGACAAATATTTTTTGCAGGGCCAAACTAAACCATCTTGGGGTGGACCTGTCAAAGAGCAGTTCAGAGCCAGCCCAACCAAAAGTCAGTTTCAAGGATGGGGAGTGCCACCCTAAGTCCCTCTCTTATCAGTGCCATTTTGAGGTTTTTTTCGTTGGTGAAAATTGTGTGGCCTGTTGCTATGAGAAGATGCCAATGAAATGGGCTAAAAAACCTGTAACTGCAAATTAATTTTGCATTTGGAGAGCAGAAAACTGTGCATCATCTCACGGCTTTATTCTCTCAGCCTTTGGTCCACATGAGAACAACTCTGTCGCCTGTGCCCCGGCTAATGGCTCCACTTCCCCCAGAGCATCTGGAGCAAAGCCTAACAACTAACTAGGATTTCCTACCCCCTCTCCAGTGAACATCCATGCCACTGACCCACCTCCTCCTTCAACACAAGCTCTCCTGTAGCTCCTGCTTGTCAATAACCCTTTTATCCACATAACCAAATTTACACTCTGCTCAGGGATCACCTATTTATCCTCTGACTGCTGCAATTTGCATGACTCATTTGCAACGTGAAGAGCTAAATTGACTTCCTTTGCCTTTTATTCTGAATATGAGCAATTATGAGAGAGTCTGAGGCTCGTGAAGGAAAGCCCTGCTTACGCTATTACACCTGTGGTGTAGCTGTCAGTCCCTGTGGGCACAGGAAGGCAGCAACGGCGGAAACTTTGTAGGAGTATCACGTTTGCTCCAAGGTGTGGCTGCAGACATACCACTGCAGGGCCAGGAGAGAAAGGATGAGCACAAAAATAGATTTTTAGCAGGTTTTGCCAGTATCTGGGATTATCATGCTAACAAAAAATCCAAACTCTCAGGTCTGGGTTCTCATCTCTTAAGTGCTGTCAGGTTAAATGGAGCACCTCACGCCACTCCGTGGTGCCTCCCCTGATTGTCTGGGAGAGCTGACAAGGTTCAGCAGGTGGGGAGCTCTTTTTCCTGGGTGGAAACTTCTCACCATACTGCATGCCATGAATAGCAGGGTGGATGGTGGGAATGACAGAGGAACTGCAGCAAAAGGAGGGATTTCAGCCTTCTGGAGTGAAGCCAAGGGAAGGTCTATTCCATTACTCACACGCCTGTAAAATCCCATTTTGAACACTCCAGTGTGCACAGATTGTGTGCACTGGGTAAGTTTTATTCCAAGCGGGAGAGACTGGAAATTGTTTTTCTAATAGAAAAGAGATGGATACATGAAAAGGGGGATTGAGGAGGAAAAGGATGAGGCAACCTTACTTGTTTAGTGTGCCAAGCTAGCCAGTGAGAAGTCAGTCTACTTTAAATGCTCCATATTCCTTAAGTTCACATAAAATTCATCCCCAGGTTAGCCCCCAACATTCAACTTTCCGGAAAAAAAAATACTTGTTTAGTGTGCCAAGCTAGCCAGTGAGAAGTCAGTCTAAATGCTCCGTATTCCTTAAGTTCACATAAAAGTCATCCCCAGGTTAGCCCCCAACATTCAACTTTCAGGAAAAAAAATACAAAACATATAAAAATAAATTTACACACATAGACATGTGTATGCATGTATTTGCATCTCCTCCAATTGTAAATATTTGTTTAAATGTGACATAAATGGCCAGCTTCCCTTTCCAGATCCAATGTTGATAGATTGGATCCACCCACAACATCATTCCTTTTCGGTCAGCCTTTGAAGGTCTAGTAGAGCACTGCTCATCCATTAGGAAACTGAGGGATGTTGAGGCTCATCAAGGAGGGACCCACCTCAGCTGAGCAGATCAAACACAGATTTTTGTTAAAGAGGTTTCAAGAAGAGGGCTAACCAGATCTAAGCATTTCTTTAGACAGAGAAAATGAGACAATCCAACATTCATGAACTTATCTTCCCTCAGCTGTACCACAGCAAAGACAGGGGCCACAACTTCTAATTTCCTTCTTACTAGAGAGACACAAAATAGTAATTTTATACCAATGCATAGAACTCATGCAAACACAGTGTAAGACTAATTCAATAATGGAAGTGTAACCATTTTAAGCCTACAAGGAGACAACACCAAGAAAAAGATAAATCAAATAAATCACTTTGACTTTTTGAGGCACAAACTGGAGGGAGACAAGACATGCAACATTATTGTTCATTTGAAAGGAAATATGCTTTTGTGGTCAACCTTTGAAGGTCTAGGTTCATCCATTAGGATGCTCAGCCATTAGGAAACTGAGGGATGTTGAGGCTCATCAAGGAGGGACCCACCTCAGCTGAGCAGATCAAACACAGATTTTTGTTAAAGAGGTTTCAAGAAGAGGGCTAACCAGATCTAAGCATTTCTTTAGACAGAGAAAATGAGACAATCCAACATTCATGAACTTATTATTCTCTTCCCTCAGCTGTACCACAGCAAAGACAGGGGCCACAACTTCTAATTTCCTTCTTACTAGAGAGACACAAAATAGTAATTTTATACCAATGCATAGAACTCATGCAAACACAGTGTAAGACTAATTCAATAATGGAAGTGTAACCATTTTAAGCCTACAAGGAGACAACACCAAGAAAAAGATAAATCAAATAAATCACTTTGACTTTTTGAGGCACAAACTGGAGGGAGACAAGACATGCAACATTATTGTTCATTTGAAAGGAAATATGCTTTTGTTTCCAATTGCTATCTCCTTTGAATCACCTTGCTTTACTTAATCTCAGTGTGATTTACACAGAGGAAGAAACTACCACAGGCTTTGCAGACCAGGAATCTGAAGCATGGAATAAATAGGACAAGCCAAATTCACCAGCATGCCACAAGCATGAGGCCCACATTTCTAAAAAAATCCTAAAGCAAACAAATCAGGAAAGGGAGCATCAGGAATGAATCTTCCATGAAATACCTTCAAGGGGGGTGAAGTCTGAGCTGTTGTAACACAGGTACAACAATAGCTAACAGCACAAGGAGAACACTTTCTGCCCAAAAATGCCATGAGAGGCATCACAAGCTGCATTTGGACATCCTTCCTCCTATCCTGCAACAGGAATCAGCCTGAAAAAGGAGTATCAAAATCCAGCCTTGGATTCAAAGAGTAAGATGCTTTTCCAGAACAGGCTGATAGGTAGGGAGGCTGACAGCTCATCACACAGTGTTTCCCCATTGTGTGGGCTTTCTTTTTCAGTCACAGACTCCCTGCAGCATCACCTGCTGTGTGATGCTTTAAGGGTCACAGGGAGATCCGAGGAGATTCTTAAGCGATGGCTAATCACCGGCCTGTGGTTTGTTTGCTTGGAGGAACTGAGCTCAGCTAAAACTAAGCTGAGGGTAAGTTTCCCAATCAGTCACAGTCTAACGATTTTCCTCTAAAAATGCTATATATGGCTTGATGCTGCAAACAAGTGCTCTGGATCAATAGTCCTGGCAAGTGAAACTGCCTCTTTGGAAAGCCAGAGGCACACAGAGTAGATCCTTGGAGAAGAGATTTTTTTCTTCCCTCACTGCCAATTCCTTTTGCTACTTTAACCTCTTTAGCCCCAGATCAAGGCATTTCTGAAAAACCACATCAGCCAGAAATTTAGTTCAGGTCACAGTGTTCCAATTTCTTTTGTATGCTGCCTTCCCCAAACTCTAGAGCATCCTTCTTTAGGAGGCCTTGGAAAGAACGCACCAAAGCCAACTGGCATAAAACAAATTACTGTACCATTTGTGATGCCAGCTCTGCACAGGGTAAATTTCACATCAGCACTAGGTCATCCTTCGTCCAGTTCCCTGGATGACCAGCAAAGAATCAAGGCATTTCTGAAAATCCACATCAGCCAGAAATTTGGTGCAGGTCACAGTGTTCCAATTTCCTTTGTATGCTGCCTTCCCCAAACTCTGGAGCATCCTTCTTTAAGAGGCCTTGGAAAGAATGCACCGAAGCCAACTGGCACAAAACAAATTACTGTACCATTTGTGACACCAGCTCTGCAGAGGGTAATTTTCACATCAGCACTAGGTCATCCTTCGTCCAGTTCCCTGGATGACCAGCAAAGCCACAGAGTCCCCACTCTGAAAGAATCAGGCATTTCCTTCTCCATGTCTATCAAAGCAGCAGAGGT